ATCATTGACGAACTAACTGCCCATGCTGGACATCAGGTTGAATCGTCAGGACACGATCTTGACCTGCTTTCACTGGCATCGCAGAAAGCTCAACTGTTGTCCCTGAGAGAATTAGTACATGTGCTTGCAGGAATCGAGCATGTGATTTGTTAACGAATTCAGGTCGCTATTTGTATGACAACAGCTATGGAACCCGTTGATGGAGGATGTGCCATACTCCTGACGGTCATCATCATCGTCACTATCAGCTGTAATAACCGCGTACTCGTCGTACAGTGGTTGTGGCTACCGCAGTTTCGTTCACCGATGGTTTGGGGGTGGGGGGGGAGGTAGTTGCACATTTCAGGCGGGAGCTGATAAACTGGTACATAAATCCAGCACTGTCAGTGGGGTGTCAAGTGGGGGGTTGGAAAAGGAGCTATGCATTGAAGGCAATAGCTTGGATGCGCGAGCGCCATTGAGGGCGCGACTGGGTCATGGCTGTGGTATCGGTCAAACTGCGCTGTGCACAAACATATTAAATCTCCCCTAAGACACGCAGGCTGACGAAAGTGATCCAGCGAAATTTGACTGGTGCCAAAGGCCTGCTCAAATTTATTTAACTAACTGGAGCAATGGAGGTGCTGCTTATGTTAGTTGACTCCAGTCACCGGTTGTCTACTCGTTTTTTTTCGGAATCGAACTCAGTCGATCGTAGACATTTGTTTCCATCTTTGGGTTCGACTCGGGCAGGAACAGATGTGCGTAGAATCTTATATACCTAGAAGTTTGTTCAAAAATTAGGACTGGACAACATGCGGATGCCTTCTGGTGCATGTTAGCAATGCTATTTCAGCATGAAAAATTGGTCACCCAAACCGTGACCGATTGACCACCCACTAGGTATTGGGGTTTAGGTCGCTTTAGCTGACACGGTTGGAGGAGAAGATTATAAATTAAACGTCCAAGATGAACTTTTGGGGTTTTTCCTACTGATTCTATGTATCCAAATTAAGCCTGGCATGCTCGTTTGTAATGCTTGATTTACTGAGCATCTTTTTCTAGTCATGGAGAATAGGTTAGCTTGCATAAAATTTATCGCGCAGATTTAGCTCCAGGAAAGCCTTGACAATTGTCATCGAGGCTTGTCATGTGCATTACAATGCGGTGGCTTATTCTGACACCGTCGGTATTCTCAAGATAATAATATTACTGATGGTATTGAACCACTGAACAAAGTGCTACTGTTTTCAGTAGTCTAGACAACACGATTGACATAAATCAAGCCGATGTCAGTTTGTTTATTGTCTAACCTCTTCGTGAACCAGCAAGACCAACTTTCGAATTTTTAATAAGATACCGGAATGAGTGCAAACCACACCCCAATGAATTATAATTTTCTATTTTATGGTGGTGTGAAATGTCGGCTGTTTTTTGTTTTTGTTTTTGTATTCATTGCAAGTCACCCGTAATTAAGTTAGAGGAGGAGTAATTCGTACGAACATGAACCTTTCAAATGAAATGATATCACTCGAAAAGCCAGTCACATGTGAGAACGTGATGTGGGTTCTGTGACTGAATGGCGGATGAAACAATTCCTTCTTATTCACACTGAGAGTTAGTCACCGGCGGCCGAACGCTTGAGCATCCAAACCATTAACTAGGAGGCCGTGGGTTTAAAACTCTATGGAGTTTCGTGAGATGCGCACTGCCGGTGATTCCCAGTAAAGAGACGAAACAATTGTCCAGTATTTCTTGGCTTTCCAGCGTAAATAGACTTGGTCTACAAGATGAAACCTCGATAGGAAACTGCCAAATCTCTTCGTACTACTAATCCTTACCAACTGTTGAAACCTAACCACAGAAGACTGACACAGCATAGGTTATACTTTGATTATGTTAATAAACACAACAATCCTACAACGCTGTTCATCTTTCTTCGACTGAAGGGTTTCGAAGTGAGGATACTGAGATCAGTTTTCTCATAGGATGTCAATTCCCGCAGATTTCAGATGTAAAGTCGCGGCGGGCGAGTCACTTGATTACGCCCTTGTTTGCACTATCGGAAGCTGAGAATGAATAACTGAGGATATTTGCAAATGGACAGACCTACAATCCATGTTCACTCCTGAGTGATCGGGGAAGATGGAACGACTTACTGTGAGTGCATTTAAAACTGATTTTTACTAACCATTCGCGATGGGCTTTGTTTCAGACGTCAGTTGACTCCTCAGGGACACTACATAGTCCGGCAAGTTAATAGTTATCGGTGTTTCAAAATTCAATCATCTTAGATTCATCCATTTATTCACCTTTCCCGATTTGATGCTTACATGGTGTATTAAACTAGTCTTTGATCAGCCTAATAATTCAGTGGAAATTAATCTATTGTAGATGATGGTCTCACCATTCTGAGTTGCAAACCTTTCCGTGGTTTGTGTGCGAGGTGGAGGGAAGCCCATACATATAGGCTCAAATGCCACCCACTTATTTGAAACTCATGTTGTCATTCAGCAAACGCAGACAGGTTTGTAGAGAAGTAACATACCACTCATAAGTTAGCTGAAAACTCTCAGCTTACGATCGGTTTCGCCCATCCTGGGGCTCAGTAGGTGGGCGAAGTCCATAATTTGCCATCAACCTCATGTTACACTTGAAGGTAGACTGTGCGGAATTCAGCACATATCCGGCGAGCGAAACAGATCGCGGTCTGTCCAAGTTTTCCCTCAGACTTATCAGTTGTAAGCTGCGTCCAGGCAAGGTGTTGCGATATGTCGAACATCGCACCAACCGAAACACGAGTCGGTCTGGTGAGACACAATCAGTTAAGGATTGCCACCAGCTTGATTCATCTGAGTCTCCCTTCGAAAGCAACCTCGTGTGTAAATGAGAATCGGACTGGTTGTGTGTGAGCTCATGTTTCTAAAGCAGGGCGAGATAAATAAAATACTGATCAAACAGCTCCGTACGGTGAGGTTTGAGGACGAATTTAATTCAAATTTGAACACTGATAAATTTTGTCACCGAAAACTCTATTTTTGCTCGACCGGGTCGGATAGGAAAGCGTGCAAGAACTGTGCAAAACCATCTGTAATTGGGGGTGAAGTCGGTGCAATCCGATAGACGGTGTTTTAGCGTGTGGATTCCATGTGGTTGTTTGAGTTGACGGACAGCAGAGAACAAGGTGATACATTGACAAAGCAACAACAACAAGATGCAGGAATAACAACCTCCTACTTGGAGAAGAATGTTCGGTGGAAAGGAGTGGTTTATCAAGCAGTGGGTAGATTTCGCTTCAATCACTTTCTGAAATTTGAAAAGAAACGAAAAATTAAGCTAGTCAATTAGGCGGCCGTTGCCTTTGAGATTTATAAGTCTCCTATACAGAATTTATCACTCGAAAGGACTACGATCTAAAATTCTTGCTATGTAATCGTACAATCCTAACTACCGATATGGAAACATCTGAAACCCTTTCCGTGCATTTCACGCTTTTCATCTGGAGACGATCGTCACCACAACTGAGAACGGTTTTTCTTCCGGTGGAGGAACGAACGTGTCGGAGAGGTCAGATAATGCACTCGTGATTTCACACCAACATAGTACCATCACGAGGGTCCCTTGGTTTAAAAAGTTTAGATTTTGTAAACTTTAGTACTGATCATATCCAAGCTTTGGTAGATCCGATTCTGGTTGCTAAACCAGCTTAGTTTATTCGATTTCTTGAAAATTCAGTTATATTGACATAAAGGAGTTGAATGCCAACCAAATTGTGGCTCCATACATCTGATAATTAAGCCAACTTGATTTCCACCAACAGCCTTCGTGTTTAAACTGATTTCTGACGCCTACTTGACAGTGCTGTCATCGGGGTTGATACTTCCACCCAAAAGCAAAGTATCCGATTGGTTTCTATTCACCAGTGCAGCACTGCCGAAAGAACGCTATATTGCAATTGCAGCAGTTCCATATCAATATTATTTTAAATGTGCAAGCACCAAGTATCCGGCCGTTACCGATTCAAAGACGATGAAAAATGGTGTCTGACGAAGCTTGGATATAGGTTCAAGCAAGTATATTTTTACGCTTCAGCCCCCAGCTACAAGCCCGTCAGATTGTTCGCGTTATACAAAGACAAGAATTAACTGCGGAGTCCAAGTATGTACCTGTTTCTCCTCTACGCGCCCTACTGATAATTCCCAAAGGAAGGACGAAACGGGTGTATAGTTGAGTGCCTCCACCCAAAGGACGAAATCTCAATTGGAAGTCCCCAATCCCAGCAATCTCTAGTTCTCCTCAGTTTGACCACCTGAAAGAAATTCACTCGCATGACGTGACCTTTTTCCCCTAACCGTGTACTGCGGAGTTGGTGGCCGTTTCCGGGGCGCACTTATTTTATGTACTTTCAAAAGCGTTCCACAAATGTAGTACTGGATCAAGTGTACGGGTTCCTTGAGCAATAATCCCAATAAGAACAACTTGACTTGATAATTGGAGAACCAACAAATGCTACACTTAATTTCATTTAAGCAAGCTTGACATAAGTCCAGACTGATCAAAGATGCAGGTGCAATTTATTTTGAAGTGAACAGCTAAAATGCACTCGAAAAGCTCGCTTGTAATCCTATCCCAAAGCGTCAAGTTGTGGAGTTTAGGAAACAGATTCTGGTGAGCTTCGGCTGGTTCCGAAGCTGCCAACAGCAAATGGATTTTCGGATAAGTTTTTTATCACGACAAATCTACAGATCGGAACAACTTGATAGACATTTGACGAATAATCCTATCTGGTAAGCCCTAAGAAGGAAGGATTTGTCAGGAGTTTTCATCGACCTTACAGTGATGGGAAGATGCATTTTTAGTGGTAAATTTTACCAAACCCCCAATCCAAAAACGGCAAGAGCCTAAGCCTGATGCGCTTTTACAATTAGGGTATCTGAAGAGGCTTTTCAATGGGAATTGTGTTGAGACACATCGCTTTCTATTCCTACCATTTTGGGACATGTTACGATTGAGTACTCACCAACGCAGTAACTGGAATGTTGCAGCTCCACAAACTCGTCGGTGAAGCAGTTCACTACGTGAAGGAAACACGCATTGGAATACACTTTCCCGTTGGAGCCGCATACTGTTGGCCAACCTTTTGTGTTTGTTTGCGGTGTCCATACGGGGTCACCTTCGGAACGTTTCTCGGGCGGACGTTCTTGCTGTTGATACGAAACGTTACAATCATCCGGCAGCTGCATACAGTCAACGCAAACAGGCTGCCTGGTTCGGTGGTGTAGACGGCAGGACATCCCTGATCGTGGGCATTTAACGTTTTCACACATTGCATCACCTAATCGGGTGAAAAATAATCAGTGGAAGGGTAACAGAATTTTTACTACGAACTGCTGAACAAGCAGAGGCACATCCTGTGACTCGTTCATTTATGGCGACCTTCATTGGTCTGGACAATTTTCGAAGTGAATGCAGCTCTCCTTTAGCTCAAAAGATAGGCCCCAGAATGAGAATTTGACCTCAACCATGTTTATGTGCAAACAGAGCTACTACCAGTGAAAATGAGTGTTTTGTGATGGCACTTAATGAGTAGATCAGAGGCTGAACGGTAGCTGTTCTTGCAAATTCTAATTTGGAATTTTCGTGGCAGAACAAAACTATTCTGTTTCTGCAACCGTATCACCGGAGAGTGTAGGTATAATCAGTAAGCTCAGTCCAATTCGATTAGCAAACTTTACGAACGAAGCTATGAATATTTCAGCTGCGTATCAGGTTAGTTATTTTCTTCCGAACAAATGAGCGCAGGTGCATGTGATTCTCATGTAGGATGCCTTAAAAGCGCAAACACAAAACGTTTCTGTTTACTAACGTTCTCCTTCTTTCGGTTTTCACTAAAATTTCCAAGTTCGAAAGTCGAATAGCCTTGGCAAACTCTGCAGCATCTCATGAGAAATAGACCAAGTTTTAAAGTTTGTGAGATTAAAACAAATCTGTCGACCTGAGCCACTGATTTGAAGCCTAATAATGATTAAATGATTCCGTTCGAATGGAGATTTTGCTTTGATTGTGATCCTGCAAACGGAACGTGAGAGCAGCTCGACTGTAGTAGGACAAGATCTTTCGCACCTCTTTGAAAGTGTTCTGTGCGTGCGACGAATGCTGACTTCTCCTTGGCACGGCAGTTGGAGCCAACTTCATGGACGAAAACGCAATTTTTGGAACACTTGCCACAGAACACGTGCCATTTAGGCCATTGTCGTACCTGCATTACCATTTGTGTACATCTATGCTTTCTGAGAAATTGATCTTGTGGAGTGTAAATCACATGCCATCCTCATCATGCACTCCTTGATACCATTCCTCTCACCTACCTCGTTCAAGTAATAGGTAGGTCATTTCAGAACAAAACCGGTTGGCCGCAATATTTTTGGTAAGCTTAGGCCTAAGGCTTCATCAAAATTTCTCAGAATGTGAACTTCCGTTTACCTTCGAATCAGCTGAGTGAGACTTTTCAGAACACATTGAAAACAAGCTGTTTTTTTGTTCACTTCTTATTGTCCAGTCTACAGCAAGGTACATTTTCGAAGGATTATTCGGTTCAACTACCTGTATATTACGAATAAAAATGAGGTCGACTCTTTGTTGATGTTTTATCCTTCCTAGTCAGCGAAGCGGGTCAGCTGAGATTTGATCTATGGGGCTACAGTTTAGCTGAGGCTACAGATTCAAACGTCTGGTCTATTGTATTACCGGGCCCCTATCCGCCAGAGAATTGCGATTTTGGTTAGAATCCCGTTTGCTCCAGTGTTATTAAAGGTCTGTTTGTAGATGGGTTGTACAGAAACAAGCAGTGATCGGGCCACTTTTTTGAACACCAATGCTGAAGACGTCATCTGGAAAATAGATGCCCCATAACTTGGACCTTTTCCTCAGATCTCATCCGGACAAAACATTAACCTCAGCTTATCCTACGCATTCATTGCATCTAGAATGAGATGGACTGAGGACCCACTGAATCACGGTCAACAACAGCGTTTCGCCTCTGACTTTTGAGCGCCGATTACGTCTTGGTTTGTATGTCTCCAGTTTAACTATTGGATCGTCATTTCCGGTTTTGACAACTTCAACCACCTAATGGCTAAGATATGCAAAAAGCCTCCGCTCAAAACAAATGGTCAAACACTTCCATTCCAAATAAATGGGTCAGTTGGCAATCAGATACATCTTTCAGATAATATGTACTTCATTTTGTCCAACGTAGTTCTTTAACCGACAGTTTCATTATGGCGCTACTGATTGGCTAAATGAATGTTCCACTGTTGGATCTGCCTCATGCGGGACATGTAGGCCTGTGAATGCGACGCCTGGGAAATTTTTCTCTGTCTGAACCATATGTTGAGTTGTTCAAACTATTGTATGGGACACAGAATAGTGTGGGTTAAGCATATGGCAAGGGTAAAATGTGTTGGAAATCGAAGTTCGGAAACGCCCGGTTGCTTGTTTCAAAATGAATTCTTAGCGTTCCATGAGGGCCAGCAATAAACATATGAAATATCGAAACCAAAATTTCTGAGCACATTGTGTGGTTTCAGCAATGTGTCGTAAAGTGCAAGTTGTGAGTAGATAGGCTATAACTTTCCGTGAGTTACTGAAAATCACGTGATCACATGTGAGAAGATGGCAATGGTAGTGAAACGCGGCTAAGTGATACGACCATAGATTAAATTAGTTTAAGCTGTGTGGTATTCAGAAAACATTTCAGCCTTGTTATGATTCCAGAGGATGTTGAATGTTAGTTTTTTTAAAAAAAGACTTGAGTTTAGCCTTGGTTTTCCGAAGAGCTCATCAATGACCATTCGCCGCCATTCTTATGTTTAACCGTATTGTGAGCAAAATTAGTCATGCTGCCAACGCCACGGTAAAATTTCAGTGTTCGATAGTTCAGAAAAATCATTAGTTAACCCGAATTAAATGCAACAAACTTCACAGAACTTAGAGATCTCACTGAAAAATTCCAACAAGAAAGAGCCCATATTTTAACCATGAGTTATTTCTAGTAAATCCGTTCTAGGTCATTCTTTTATTGCTAATTGTCAGCATAGTGGAACAAGAAGTTGAAGCATTAACGCTGAACACAGATATAGTGCTGCGAACGATGATGATGATGATGATGATGATGATCCAAAGTTGGTCCAGTTCGGATATTCAGGAGATCAAGCCCAGGGTAGATGGAACATGCCAAGAAATATGAGCGTTTTTGGCCAAATCAAAAATAACGCAGTAGAGAAATAGTGGATGGGAGGAAATTTCGTCACTATTTGGTTAGAACATTAGGATCTGATTACGCATTTGTAAAACAAGGATTACTTATCAAAGCCAATGACGTTTGCGTTGACTAACTGAAGAACAATGACAAATGAAGAAGATGCACACACTCCGAACTGAAAGGCACTTTGTGACATGGACTTAACGCAATGGATAACTTACTCCTGCACTGGCCCATATATGCTATCCTCATTTCCAGTTGTCTTCGTAGGCCAGCGTGTCTCAGTTCGCATCGATCCGCGTAGGTCCGATTATTTGTGCCACAGAACGGACCTCGAGTTCCGTCCTCTTCAATGCAGTCTCCGTATTTGTTCTCTTTGCTCCAAGGTACACATTCAGGTAGGGCGTTCAACTGACGCAACATGCAGAACTCTCCATTCATACACTGTAATCCAGAGGACCATTCTTCTAACTCTTGCGTTTCGCGGCTCACTCTGATGCTCCCCCCAAGAGACTTACGCCGAAATCTTTCCATTTGAAAAGTACCCCGTTTATCGACCAACCATTGCCTAATCCATGGTGACATCTTCACAGCCCGTCTTTCTGACTGTGCAAGCAGTAAATCTGTGGAGCGCTTCTCTAGGTCCGACAGTATACTGTTAGACGCACACTTTATTTGATTCTGCGGGCAAGGAATCTCAGAGAAACCATGATGAACCGACTCACAACGAGCCTTTTTCAACTGACATCGGTTGGTAAACTGCTGCAGATTGGTTGTACACACCACACCTGACTCAAAATCAGACGGTTCGCATTTTGTCTGACAAACGCAGCGTGGTTCGCCTTTGAGTACTTGACATTCATGACCCTCGGGACAAATATAGTCCTCGCAAGTTGGTTGATACACTAGAAGAAAATTTGATATTCAAAAAAACCCGGTTACTAAATTTGAAGAAGCAAACATAGGCATGTATATGTAAATATTAAACAACTGCTGGTAACCGGAAACTCCTAGTATGATATGTATTTCAAAATCGAAGTTACCGTTATCAGAAAACTGTCCATATTGGAAATGGATTGGGGGCCTTCTGCTTGATAAAAAAAGATATTCAACGGTGATAAAGTCGTTCTTTTCACGTTTCGGCTCAATGGTCGGCTCCAGAATCTCTCGAACGTCAGCGTGTTTAAGTTCGTTAAAGTGCGAGTACAAATAAACTACTCATAAAGTTGCTGAAAACTCTTCGACAGCCCACGACCGGCCATTCTTAGGACTCATCAGGTAGGCGGAGTCCCTGAGTTTTCGTCAGCCTTATGTTCCACTTGAATCCAAACGAGAAATTCAGCCGGTTTCGTTCGAGTCTTATAGCGAAATCAATTTAGCGTAAAAATGATAGTACCTCTGGAAATCTGTCCAGTATTGATTCAAGTAGAACATAAAGTTGACGGAAACTCGGCTACTGAGCCTCAAGAAGAGCAGAATCGGTTGTGGGCTCCTCAGGAGTTTTAAGCAACCTTTTAAGTAATATATTGTGTCTATGAAATGTGTCGCGATATCTGGAATATCGTACCAATCGCACTTAGAGCCGTCTGGTCTAGCACATTTATTGGCTTAAGAACACCATAAACGAGATATTCAGCTGGGTTCCGGGAGGGTCTCCCGCAAAACCAAATTGATATATAAGTGAGTGAATAACTCATACAGGGACATATCTTTTTTCACTAACCACTGGTGGGGAAAAACTCCGGGCAGCTCACTGCCGGCTCCGTTATTCTTGAGGTTCGTAAGATGAGTATAGTCCTGGTGCTTTTTGTCAACCTTGTGGAGCTCCTGAAGACCAAATTGTCCGCAGTTGACGCAAGAAACTCACTTGCGAATTAATATATAATACGGACGGAATATTATACTGGAATCCACCTGGATATCTTGTTTATGATATAATTCAGTTGACTGTGCCAGTCTAACCATGAGGAACGAAACCTGAAGAACGTACAGTAGAAAACTAAGAGTTCCGGTGAACTTCATTTCAGTCTCCAGTCAACACTAACTTGGTTTGCACCTACCTGTTTATGCTACCCTCTTCCTGGTTTAATTACAAAATAACAAAAACTGGGCAATCTTGGATACATTCGAAGCCGATCAAAGTATATATTCCTCACAAATATTTCGTTTTCATAAGTGACTGCTGACTTGAACAACATATCTGTGTAGTAAACAATCCTAAACATGGAGTACTAGGCAACAATTCACCAGAAAAAAATAACGTTATCTTCACTGAGGCAACAAACTGATCAAAGCAACTTTCGAGGCAAAACATGAAATATTTACCTACCGAAAATATGAGTGTTTGTGGAACTCCGGGCTGTAAACTCGTAAACATCGAACGTGTAAATCACTTCAGTCGTTCAGAGCTATCCAGAATATGTTTGCTAACTTTGTCAGACAAAATAAATTGAACTAGAAAACGTAGTAGGGTGAGGGTAGCCCTTCTATAACGTGTTTTCCACATATTTATTTGTGGCCAAAAGGTCACGAATCAAGTCAGTCCATTTGTAACAACTCTCTATTGTATTCTAAGGTGAATTCACCAACAGGCTATCACATAGACTGCACAGAACGTAACCACCTTTTCCTGATTTTATCCTAATTGCTTTGTTTTTTTTTTGAGTGCTGTTTATCATCCGAAAGTGTATCACGAACAAACTGTAGGTGTGTAGAAGAGCCGAAAACGCATAAGAGCAGCTATTTATTGTTGCAAAAAGCATAGTTTACTGCACCTGCTTGATGGTTCGAAGTGCCTTCAATCTGCGACTGAGAAAGTCCGCTTCACCGGCCAAATGAGTGTTGAAACGTCAATGAGATTTAGATGAAAACTCTTGATAGTGTTCTGATGAAGGCGTTACCTTACTATTGGTCTTGTGTGCTCGAAATAAGTCATCCTAAAACGACGACAAAAACCCTTCCAAGATGTTTGTTCTTCAAACTGGGTTTGTGAATACTGAATTTGTTATTTTCGTTCGTATAGAACTAAGCAATCCACACTTCGCAAAATACTTTTAAACCTGTTCCACAAAGTCAAGATTTTAAAAATACTAATTTTATCGTTTTTTGTACTCAGTAATCCTATTCGAATCGTCTGCGACGTTCTCCATACGCGTTGACTAAAATTGAACGTGTTTTTCATCAAATCAGTCACACACACCAGAACAAACGATATGACGTTTCGGGTATTCAGTGAAATAAATACTTCGTAGGTCACACTTACATGGAATCTATGACAGAAAAGTCAAAACCTGTACTTATGTGTTCATTCGTTTACCATTCCGACAAATGGTGCTACTCATACTATTTTCAGTAAACAAGCTGACATGACATGCTGTTATTACTCTAAAAACTACCAGGTAATGACGTGCTCTAAAAAACAAGCGTTTTTTTCATAAAGTCAGGGCACACGGTATCTTGTGGGCGTTTTATTGAAACAAAATCACAAAAACACTGCGTGAGAGATAAACTTTTGTGATTTTTTTCACGCGATCAAACGGGCGTTTATTATGCATATATTTGTGCGTATGCATAATATTACATTCCTTAGTTTCAAAGGAACTAACAAACCTTTTCATTATCCCAAACTTAGATTAGGTTCATTAAAACAGCAAAATTAGTATGGTAGATTTAATTACTGCAAAAATTAGCTACCAGCATTGACGTTAATTTCAACTGCTGTGTTCCAGTTCTTAACAGGGGATAAACATTTTAACGGAAAACTGTTCCAAATAGTACGATTGTTTTGCGTCAAGTTTCTACTACGTGTTTTGTTTGAATAATTCGAGTGCACCGATATGCTCATGCATATATATGAATATATATGCTCATACGCGCCTATTGCTAACTTAATCGTACGTCTGTTTATTTTTCCTATTCTTTTTACAAAATCCTCTCTGTGGCGCATTTAACGCGTAAATGGCAGTTTTGAGGAAGGCCTCAAAAGGGCGGCTACACAGCCAAATTTGCCTTGGAAAGCTTCATATGTTCTAACTCATTTGATGTAATCACATGCAGACGGCCTAATAAAAACCTGAAATTGGATCAGATTTGTTTAAATCTTTAACTTTTGTTCATTTACATTAAGAATTCTGAACGTAGCAAGTGGAATCACCGAGCGTTTTTGGAAGTACACAAAAGTGTACAGAATAGTATACGGAAGCATACAAAAGTATGCAAAAATGCATCAACCACCCACTGCGTCAGACAACATTTTGCCTGTAAACTGTGGCACCAATGTGGTGGATTTTTAAGAGTGCACAACGAATATTTGCACATTGCCCAGCTTGACCTTCACATGCTTGCAAGACGGCGTTTATCTCACGTGTGTTCAGATGTCTTATTCAACTTTCACTTGACCACATTTACGACAAATTTGAAAATAGTGGATGTCCTTGTCCCGTGAAATCTCCTACATGTGACAAAAAATCAAAAAAAATATCCGGAATATGTGTAAGTTGCCTGCTACAAGTCAATAATATTCGTAGAATTTGTTGTTATCCGTTTGGTAATCATTAGCTGAAATTGTCAGGGTCATACCCACTACGTCAGTGCTTTCCAGCTCACTTTCGCAAATGACTCGGGGATCATTTTTTATTTTGTCGTGTCATGCCGACTAGATATCTCTCAAACCCGATGCAAGAGTCCACTCCCGAGCTCGGAGGATACAGAAAAACAGATGCTTAATTTAAACGGATCAGCCCAGACACCAATACTTGTTGTGATACCTGGGCTTCCATTCTGTACCATGACTACTCTTGAAGGTTACATGCTTTTGTTTGTCTTACCCTATTCCTAATCAGGAAACAATCAGCAAGTCGAGGGAAGTGACCCTACGTCTGTTTCCTTGTAAACAGTGATTTTGCAAGAGTTGTATCCCCATTGTTAGTCACGAATAATGTATCGTTTATGTGATATTACCCCAGGTCATTTTGAAAAGCAGCTCTTGTGTGTACTCACACTATACCTGGAAATTAACAAATAATTAACTGAACAAGGGAAAACGTACTTTCGCTACAAGCGTGGACACAGTTGCTTGTACCAGTTTCCATAATGAGATGATCTCGTAAAAACTCATAGTCCGTTAGTACACGGTTCAAAAAGTAGCCGTTTGCTTCGCAACACCTTTGACGTGTGGTGACACCAGATATAAATCCGATGCAATTTCCATTGGACAAGCGCTGAGTGAAACACGTTCCATCTGTAACTTGAAACAATACGGAAAGACAGATTAGGTTGGAGAAATTTTTTCTGGCATGATTCAACCCTTTTAAGCATAAAGTGTCCAATAGGGTGTTTTTTTTGTGACCAGCACTCGTTGACCGCCATTCAACACCTCAGGTGGGATTTAAATTCGTAGGCAAGGGTGATCTATTCGGTTATACGTTTGACTAGAGTGCGTGACCACACCACGCGCAATCGTTTCCGGCTACTACCAGTAACAGTCCACCATGGCTCCGAACGTCCCTAGAATAGGACATTGTGTGCATTCGCCTGGTTGCTCAGGCATTAAGTGTACCTAACACTAAACGATATGATATCAAGAGTCTGTTTGTGGCACGAGATATCATACGAGAGCATTTGGGGAATGAAAGTGGATGACCAAGAACGGGCTTTGCTTTATCATGCCTCCTCAAAAATGGCCAAGTTCACAACAGTCAGCTGACTGAAGCTTCTTAAGAATTCCTATCCATGATTTATCCTTTGCCGGTGACTTTGCCCATCAGCCAGCGGCCCCTAACAAACCAGCTGCAGTTTTCCAACAGTTTTCAATTTCTCGATCATTCGATTAGAAGCGAACGCAGCCTTCGTGTGTACGTCCATTCAAGCTTGAAGTCGCATTGAAATGTTCTGCCCCTAATTACCAATTACTGTTTCACAAACTTATATAACCTAATATTCGTAATCTATAAATGTATATATTCCTATAATGCGCAGTACCGGGGGTTTCTAGAAAAAATATATTGGGATCTGACGGCTCAGGTGAATGGTTATTCGAATTACACTTCAGTGACTGACCAAACCATTTTTTACACAGCATCTATAGTCAGTTGGTGGAATTTTTCTTGACGGGGGAATAATTTCGTGGACCTAAGGTAAGAAAAAATCTCCTATTTTCTGTTTTGCTGATACACCAACTACTGTTTCCATAAAAGGGTATCAAACTCTGTTCAGAGTTGGACAGGATTCGAGTAAAAAATAACCCAATGGTTGGAGTGCTGTGAGTTCGGTGCATATCTTTATTGTAGTATTTTACAAGCTTGTTCAATGAATAAAAGCAGTAAATTGCATCTGAAGGTATTGTTTTACTGCAGTATATATATATGTCATATATATCCTATATACATATATATATAACCATACACAAATAAATAAATCCGGACACTCGCGAAGGGACAGTTTTTTGCAACCGACCAAGCAGGCAGTTAATTGCTTTTAAGCAGACTGCCATCTTCACCAACATGTTCTGAGTTGTCTTTTTATGAGTCAAATGAAAAGCCTATATAGATCTATTCGTGATAAAACGTGATTGGTCAGTATAGATAATGTGAATAAACTATTACCGCCGCCTCTCATTTGAGTTATGAAAAGCTGCGACGAAACAATGTCTGTCTAAACACACTCATTGCAAAGGACTATGAGCTCAGCGAAGGTAATCTTGTTCCTCAAGCTTCGGTGTTAATGTTGGTTTGAATGCAGGCGTGGGGACTGCGAGGACATTTTGAATAGTGCCGACGACTTTCGGACGGTTGCTTTTAGTTTCCTTGGTGCGAACAACGTGACACCCAACAAGTGCTGAGAGCCCATATCACGTTTGGTAAACCTTTGATGACAAGGTTATCCACGCAACAGTCTGGCATCAAACTACCACTCTTTGCGGCAGTCAGCAGGGCACAGTTTCATCCAAGTTTGAAGACCGTAGTGCGGAGCGGTCCTTTAGCTCAAGCATGAATAGGGGGACAAACTTTGCTTACATACACATACAGTGGATACTCAGTTTCAATTCTGACAGCTAGCCTTCGAATGATTGAAGCATGCTATTGTGAAACATAGAAGATATCCATGCAGTGTCAGACTTTCAACTAATGAATGGTAACATTTAGTTATTAATATCTTGAAGGTGACTCTGTGAAACGGCCGATGAATGTAGTTAAACAAGCTGAGTATACCGAAGACAGTAACATTGTAATAAACTGTTCTGGCGACCGTCGCTGTAAAGACCATGACTTCGCACAGAAGCTGCTTCTGTTAATCTATTTGTATTTTTCGAAGGCGTACAACACTAGTTGCCTTAATTATTGAAGTGAGGTTTTATTTACTTGACCAGTGATAATCAGACCATACTGGAACACCCTTATCTGGAGATATTAATGATCAATTCACTTGTCTGCACTGCGCTTGCATTTTCGTTTCCACCCACATTTCGTCATGTTTGTGCGGATTCTGCTGATCCTACTTCTTGTTCGACCGCACAAAGTGTGGATAAGAATTGGTGTTGCCATATCAGCGATCACTGCAAACGATCACTATTGGTGCCTCAAAGTAGGAAGAAGAAACTCAGGAAAACACCATCCAGCCTTGTCTACGGAGGTTATCCGGGAGTTGCACTTTGTGTTAATACATGCAGCTGATTTTGGCGTAGTTGGTACTTGATCAAGAGCTCGGTTACAGGGAAACGGCCTGTTTCATCCCATGGAAAGTACTTGTGAAATAGGCGCTGTCACATTACAGTTGAGGACGCTTGGAAGGAAAAGCGAACGTGTTAGGCGCTGACAGTAACTTCTACTTTCATCCTGAGGGGCTGAATACCCTTTCAGAGGAAGGCTTCAGAGGAACTGGCAGTCTTTCCACTTGAGGTCATTGAGCTGTCAGTCAGAGGTCTAGTAACCAGAGGGTAGATGTTTGGCAAAAGCATTTACTCAGTGGCTGTTACCATCAGAAACTTGTGTCTATAACGTCTTGTAGCATCGTACATATTCTTCTAGCTAACTAGCTAATAAGAATGCCCAGATGTCTGTTTTTCACGCTCCTTATACGATTGTTTCTGATTTATGAAACTGCCGACTTCCGGCTCTCAGCCATACTCCGAACTAGTTACGTTAGACAATCATTGCCTGTCTCAAAAGGTGTAGCAAGTAAAAAAGCCAAACTGCCCAGTTAGCAGCGATAAGGTAGCATTAGCAGAGAAAGGTGCACTGATTTCGAGAGGCCAGGAGGCTTATGGGGAGATCCATTGTCCATTGTATAGAGGTAAAGTGAAAAAATAACACCTGCACTGGCATCAATCGGATTCAAGAGGGTTCGGTCACGTTCTAGTATAACAGGCACACAAACTAAGAGAACTTTACACGAAAAAAATCTCCGGACTGGTTGAAGCGACGAAAACGAACTGTCTCTGTTGACAAGATAAAGACCCAGTTTACCCACTTTACTTGCATTGATGTAATATCTTCATTTGGATTGTGACTGAATCATTCCTACAACCATTTCAGTTTACTTCACACATCAAGTGCGATGCAATGTGGCCTTACATACACATACAGTGGATACTCAGTTTCAATTCTGACAGCTAGCCTTCGAATGATTGAAGCATGCTATTGTGAAACATAGAAGATATCCATGCAGTGTCAGACTTTCAACTAATGAATGGTAACATTTAGTTATTAATATCTTGAAGGTGACTCTGTGAAACGGCCGATGAATGTAGTTAAACAAGCTGAGTATACCGAAGACAGTAACATTGTAATAAACTGTTCTGGCGACCGTCGCTGTAAAGACCATGACTTCGCACAGAAGCTGCTTCTGTTAATCTATTTGTATTTTTCGAAGGCGTACAACACTAGTTGCCTTAATTATTGAAGTGAGGTTTTATTTACTTGACCAGTGATAATCAGACCATACTGGAACACCCTTATCTGGAGATATTAATGATCAATTCACTTGTCTGCACTGCGCTTGCATTTTCGTTTCCACCCACATTTCGTCATGTTTGTGCGGATTCTGCTGATCCTACTTCTTGTTCGACCGCACAAAGTGTGGATAAGAATTGGTGTTGCCATATCAGCGATCACTGCAAACGATCACTATTGGTGCCTCAAAGTAGGAAGAAGAAACTCAGGAAAACACCATCCAGCCTTGTCTACGGAGGTTATCCGGGAGTTGCACTTTGTGTTAACACATGCAACTGATTTTGGAGTAGTTGGTATGAAATAGGCGCTGTCACATTACAGTTGAGGACGCTTGGAGGGAAAAGCGAACGTGTTAGGCGCTGGCAGTAACTTCTACTTTCATCCTGAGGGGCTGGATACTCTTTCAGAGGAAGGCTTCAGAGGAACTGGCAGTCTTTCCACTTGAGGTCATTGAGCTGTCAGTCAGAGGTCTAGTAACCAGAGGGTAGATGTTTGGCAAAAGCATTTACTCAGTGGCTGTTACCATCAGAAACTTGTGTCTATAACGTCTTGTAGCATCGTACATATTCTTCTAGCTAACTAGCTAATAAGAATGCCCAGATGTCTGTTTTTCACGCTCCTTATACGATTGTTTCTGATTTATGAAACTGCCGACTTCCGGCTCTCAGCCATACTCCGAACTAGTTACGTTAGACAATCATTGCCTGTCTCAAAACGTGTAGCGAGTAAAAAAGCCAAACTGCCCGGTTAGCAGTGATAAGGTAGCATTAGCAGAGAAAGGTGCACTGATTTCGAGAGGCCAGGAGGCTTATGGGGAGATCCACTGTCCATTGTATAGAGGTAAAGTGAAAAAATAACACCTGCACTGGCATCAATCGGATTCAAGAGGGTTCGGTCACGTTCTAGTATAACCGGCACACAAACTAAGAGAACTTTACACGAAAAAAATCTCCGGACTGGTTGAAGCGACGAAAACGAACTGTCTCTGTTGACAAGATAAAGACCCAGTTTACCCACTTTACTTGCATTGATGTAATATCTTCATTTGGATTGTGACTGAATCATTCCTACAACCATTTCAGTTTACTTCACACATCAAGTGCGATGCAATGTGGCTTACCCAAAGGTCTAACGGCATAAGGAAAACTGCTGGTCATTCACGGTAAATGATTGACAGATGAGGTGTTCTGTAGAGTTTTTAACATTCTAGTCCCATTAAGAGATCACGAAACCTTAACATGTAATCGAGATATCTACTAGTTTTGTGGCTGAGGCTGCGCACGATATCTGGATAC